TTCCAGGTGAGTCTCTCGAAAGAACCAAATTAGTTTGCAGATGAGTGTATATTCGCTAATTTCGTGCAATTTGGTTTCAAGTAGAACATAAGGTTGACGGAAACCCGGGGACTGCGCCTACCTGATGAGCCCCAAGAAGGGTCGTGGGCTGTCGATGGATTTTCAGCAACTTTATGAGTAGTACATTACAAATATACGAAAAAGCTGTTCTGTTCGTTTAAAGGCTATGAGTTCAGCACAATGGAGAACTACAATCTGGCAAAAAGTATGCTGAAGAGTTTGCAACCTTATGCGAAACCGAAGAAAATTAACGATGATAAACTAGACTGATGGACTACCGCAAAATCCTATGATTCAAGAAATTGTCGGTAAGTACCGAGAAAGTGTTCATGAAATAACATTAAAAAACCTCTGTTATTGTTATCATTGTTGTTGCGCAAGACTCATAGAGAAACTCAATAAGCTTTGTAAAATAAAGACCTTGTCCTAAAACTCCCTCGCTTATCAACCTCTCAAAGACCGGAGAGAGACGTCATAACCAAGATGCAAAACCAACTCTAACGACGATGTACTCTAAGGTGGCTGTTGTAAATCCAAAAAACAGACACTAGCGAGTTCAACTAAACTTAGTAATTCTGCTGTAAATCAAGGGCCAACTACAATATTTTCAGCCATTGAAAAGTCAGAGGTCACAGAAGGAATAGTCAAAGCATTGGAGATAAGTCCACTGATATGATACTCCTATGTGATAACGTACAGAATTGTAGTCAACAGCTTTCATGCAAGAGCGCTACTGACTGGACCGCAGAACACAACCGCGGAGAGTTCACCAAAGTTTATGAATATCTTGCGGATAAGATATTTGAGTAAAGTTTGTAAGCATAATGACTTGTCCTACCATTGATTTGGGTATTCATGAAATAAAGTACCAAGTGTAACCACTTGGTGTGTTCAAAAAGTTCTTCCGTGGAGCCACGCAATAAGAAATTCACAAGGATCAAAGGCTTTAACCTATTGAACTGCTTTGAGGTGATCTACGTGGGGATAACACGAGTAGACAGGATGCGACAGATCTGAAATAAGTACGCCACTGAAAGCGCTCGTTTTTGGCAACAGGCAGGTCGTCAGGACCAAGACTGTCGTCTGTGAACTGGGTAAATATGTCAAAAAATAAAGTGAGGACAAGGATCGCCGGAATCCCCCCGGCGTATAGTGCGCAAGTGGATGCAAATGTCTCCTGCATTCGCTGTCGTTCCCATAACGCTCCGTCGTGATTAAATTTACCTCGGTATGCCGCTCTAGCATAACCAGAAGTACGGTTGACGAAGGGTAACATCTTATTTATTTGTAGATTTTAGTACTTTAGGGCAATGCGGTCAAAAGTAGAATGAGTAGAGAAACACGGTCTCATGAGATGATTATAATTGACTGTTTTCTTGTAAAACCAAAAAGTGGTTTGAGGTGATTATCGGTAGTTAGTAAGAGTTGCGTAGGACTCACAGAGACAGTAAGACTACTTGTAAATCCCTATTCATTTTCGACCGCAGATGTAAGCATTGCTTGAAAATACAGGAAGGAGGACTTCTTTGGACAGGTTGCCAAAACCTAACCTGATACTTTTCAAAAAAGTATTAGGTTACGTTTTCCTAGATGAAAATGGTCGAAGACCGACAGTTGCCTATCATTGCGGGTTGGATTTGACTGATTACTAAAGGATAACCTGGGGAAAAACTTACGTACAAGATGCATACTGTGGCGTTTGATAGTACCCTTCTGACTATCCCACTCAACAGCCACCGCAAGAGCGAGGGCCTCATTCGGTATGAGCAGTGTATTACCGCCAGGGGTACGAAGTTTCCGTTTATCTAACTGTACCTCGTAGACAAGATCCTGTTCACCTGAATAAAAGGAGGAAGACAAATTGGGCTCAATGTGCTGAACAAAAATGTGACGCGTCGTTGAAGTCCTACAGGCCTCACTGGGGTTCATACTCTACTTATTTTGGGAAATGGTAAGAGCCAAAAGCCCACGAGCAGCACTATTAGCGAGGGAATCAAATGATCCCTCGAAAATTAGCCCTGCAGATATTGTATCCCCTCTGTTATGTGGATTAACTAGAAGAACCACATCCGCTCAAACGAGCAACGTGAATGCGCACGAAAATAATCTGAAATACCAGTGATACACGCGGACAAATTGGACTTCAACACAGATTGACCATTCCTGGAATTTGTGCTTGGGTCGCTTTACAATAATGGTGGTCTTAGTGAAACAGAGGAATGGGCAATTTGTTTAAATTATGAGAAGTAGGGAATGAAAGTGTTTCTGTGAATCATTGGATAAGCCGAATTGTCAGACAATCTTATTCTCACCAAAAAGTGTAGCTTTTGGCCATAGTTTACATGAGGACAGAGACAAGGAGAACAGATCCTGCTAAGGAATCTGTTAGCATAATCTGACCACCTAAACTGTTATATATGTACGGGGGGCTTTTGTCACGTTCAAGTAAGATCTAAAGATCTATTAGGCACATCCCAGTCAGAAAGGGCCTGCAAGAAAATCTGACTAGGTTCCCCGCAAACAGTTGCTGAGTTAGGTGTGACAGCGAAACGGCGTGATAATCCAAGCCAGCTACAAACAGCAGTTGAAACTAAAGCTTTTCCTGTCGGAAGTGAACCAAAGTGATCCAAAATTGCAGTCCGTAAGGAGGACCAGAGAGTAAAGAGAAAACACCATAAAAACCCATCTAATCCTACGGGAGTGTTACCTTTTAAGCTCTCCCCATCGCACCAAAATCACAGGATAGACTACTGGACTCTTAAACCAATCTAACTGTCGTGGACATGAAGTAACAGGTTCTGAAGATTCCTTCCCGCTAGATTTGCTTTCCACTGTTTCCTTTCAGATATGTTTCCTCCTGGAGGCTAGGTATGTCAGATTTAGTCATCACTATCTTCGATATCGACAATAACGAAAACATGAAGTCTTATGGAACAATAGAGTAGGCATTTGGAAGGACAGCGAACCTTCGGGGATAACTTGGGAAATCGTCACATTCTTGTAAAACTTCTTGATCGGAGCTGAAAGGCCCAGTGTAAATACCAAGCTCAAACGAACAAACCGGAAAATAGGTTCCTGAAGACGACGTTGGCGACAACATGGAAGTTGGTAAATGTAGGTGCTCGGCAACACTGCATTGCTATATCGATGTTGGCAGTTTCTTTCAATTTCAGATACGTGACTGACGGGATGAATGGAAGTGCAAAAAGGAGTTCTAGCTTCCGAAAGATTTCGCACACAAATGCTGTAAAATATTCGGAAAACGAATGACGTTCAGCTAAAGCTACACGAAAGAAAGTGGTGGGGAAAGTTCATCTATGCGTTCACAAAAGAACGCATTCTGTGAACATAAAAAGCGTTTCATGTCAGGAAAAAACACGAAATTCACTAACAATCTGCCATTCAGGGTTTCCAATAGTGGGAAAAATCCCTCTCCAAGTAGTTTTTGGTTGCCTCCAGATTGGTTTTCTTTCGCACCCGCTAGTATCTGTCCTTCAACTACCCTTGACATGGTGTCAGTTCACCGCCAACCTTGTGGTCCTGCTGCCGCCTGCAATCCCGTCAAATTAGCTTCGGTTTTGGTCATCCACAACAAATTGAATAGTATTGTTCCCGAACAGCCTTCTTTTTATTGAGGCGAGTCTGGGTTGTGTCGTTTAGCGGTTCCAGCTGAAGCTGGTGAGTCTGAAATAGAACGCGCTCAACCCTTTCAATGTTTGGTGAGTTTGTTCCAGGCTGTCCTTTCGATAATGTCTAGTCACAGTTGAATCCTTAATCTCGATGTTGCGTCCTATTTCGTCCGCCATGTTACTTATTTCAGAGCGTGATATGCCCCTTGTCAAAGTATTGAATTGACAACCTTAAACCAAGACGTCTGATTTGACTTATGTGAGTACCAGCTCGAAAAACACGGTACGGTTCGGCAGTACAAGTGCTGTCATGATGCCGCACGACTGTCCACAATGGTTAGGAAAGTGATTCGGCACATCATCCCAAAGCCATCGAAAGAGGATAGGCCCGAAAATCGAGTTTTGTGCACAAAACGTGATCTAAAGTCAGGCAGTTCGCCAAAGGGGATCAAAGGTTACTCGGCCACACACAACAGACAGTGCATGCATAACGTGTAAACACAAAAAAGTCCCATATCTATGGCATTTTGTTTACATCCATGCTCAGATGGCGCCATTACGGGGGATCTTTGACCTGGTTAACTACTAGAATCGATCTAGTTGCGGAACAGACGTTATGGTTATCTTACTAGATGCACCAGCTCTGACACAGCAGCTTCAACGCGTGCAGGTTGATAACAGAGCCGGACTAACTCACACATGGGTTCAAGAGCACTCTAGCTTCAAGGGGATCCCCAGTGTCACCTCCGCATAGACACTCAGGAATCCCTCCATCATTCAGTCGGAAACGAATTTGATCTCACTGACTCATCTGTGAAGTTACTTACAGCCGGAAACCTACATGCCTAAGGAAATCTTGAGGGCCAATAACTCGTCCAATGTAGTCATCGCATTTCGACATGATCAGTGTAGGCAAATTTCTAGACTTACTCCTTTTTATCAGTTTCAGTGACACTACCTTACTGCCTTCCACATCACCAACTAAAACGTTAGGGTCCGTCAGGGTAGATATAGTACGAAGCCATGCATTTAGGAAGCCTTTACACGAGAATCTACCGCAAGTCCCAACCTTCTGCACCAGCTACTTCACCTAAGCGTTACGGTCAAGCTTATGATTCTGTCACCATTACGACAGATGCTGCAATGCACCATGGTGAAAAGAAACCACCTGTCCGACGTCGACGCCGCTGGCTACCTCCCAACAAGGCGAACCAACACATCACAGCGGTGAGTGAGGTGCCAGTCCGTCCTCTTCACATATTACGTCACCGGCATGTGTTCCTTTGGCCGGTTGATTGAATCAACTGAAATATGACGTGGCTGTTACCTGTAGCGAAAACATTTATCTCCTGGACCTTAACACTCCACCAGCCAGCTTTTGATTATCCGGTGTTTCGGGGATCTGCGTACACCGCCATAATAGCTAGTTGCTTGTATGGCCTTTCTGGCAGCAATAAAACCTGTTGAGCCCATTCAGCATTCATTTGGTCGAGTCGGATGGCTTGGATTAACAGTTCCGAAAGTTGAGAGAACAGCCTCTTTCACTTGCTTTCGCTGTAGCTCCAAGCAATTTTCGTCATGCGCATGACTGTACGTTAACAGCAGTTTTCTTATCAGATCAGCTCGGTACTCTTGAGCTACTGAAAATCAACGAAGTGGAAGAGGAAAGCTGCTCTACTTTGGCAAGTGTAGTGCTGAAGGAAAGCGAAGTGATGGGCGGGCCCGCACGATAGCGTGACTGCAATTACTTTGCGTACAACAGACGGGACGATTAAACCCATTTTTCTCAGCTTCAGAAGTTTTATTTGTCAATACGTATGCTGATGCGACATAAACACCATTTATCGCGCCACCTTGCATTAATCCTGATTGAACCAGACAACCGCTCAGCGCAAAGTCAGCTGGAGTCCAGTCCAGTAAAGCCTTGAAGCCGAATGCAACTCAAACGTCACAGATACGATGAACCACTGCGTCAGAATAGCCAGATACCCTGAGAACGAAATGGGGGCTTTTGAGCTCGTTCTAAGCGGTCTGACGTGCACAACCAAGGTGGGTTTTGTATGTGCTTCGTAGACACAACATACATTGACAGAGGGAAAGCAAGGCTTTAACAACAATTTGACGCACAGTACGGACATTGACGGTCGCAGCGTGGATTAGATCTTTAGAAGCTAGTAGGTGATTACTTTGGTTCATTTGTATGAGCGGTAGTTTAAATACGGGACAACGCTGGAGGTGGATTGCACTGCATCCTTCGACGGATGGGGAGGTGTGGGGGAAGGTCGACGAGCGAACATATGCAAGGGAGAGTGATACATCCCGATTTCTCAGGGCGAAGAAGATTAAGCCGTTAAGTGTAACGAGCATCGTTTATGTTCGCATTATCGCATCGTATTAGCCATGGTCCGACGTTATTTTCAGCTTCTGTACGTCCCACCAAAGCGCGATTCATTCTATGCAGTGCCGTTTCGTTCTAGACTCCATCCGTAACAATTTGCTTGTGTAAGAACCGCTTGAACCGCTGCTGCGATTCAAGTTTCAGCGCAGACTAAAATTTCCCAGATACCACTGCACGCCGGAATCATTGGTTCCGAGCCTCCCAGACGTCTCCGGACAGATCTTTATAAAAACTGGAAACCTTGGTTTATTTTGTGATTATGAATCCCCTATTAGTACACGTATGCTCACCATCTTCGACGCATATGCAAACAAGACATCAGCTAAGATGTTAATCAGTTTATCCAAAAGCTTATATTCCTGGCCAAAGAATGCGATATCAAGGCGGTACCCACCATCGACCATGAAAGGGGAAGTGTACGCGATGTTATAATCAGATGGCTTGTTTTCTACCGTCAGAGGACTTCTGGATCGAACTAAACTCACCCTAGATGAAGTACATGAACTGGTTAGGTCATCGGATTTGGCTCGCTAACAAACTGAATCGTACCAGCATAACCAACCAATACCATATTCTACGGCTGCAGCGCCTTCACAAACATCTACGGTTAATCTGCGGCACTGCGTTCAAGAATTCTGCATCTCCTCGCCCGTTATTCAGTTATCGGATGTTATTTTTGCGGTCGTTCTAGGCATCCACGATCTACGTGTCCCGCAAGAGAAGCGATTTGTACACCCGTTATTCGTTATCGGATGTTATTTTTGCGGTCGTTCTAGGCATCCACGATCTAAGTGTCCCGCAAGAGAAGCGATTTGTACACCGTGTACCGGAACAGTACATTTCAAGCATGCTTATCAATACACATCTATAAAACATCACTCAAAATGCATAACTGATTCTATATTATCTTCTCTGTTTACTGCTGCACCCCGAAGATATTCGTCCAGCACGGCGACCAACTTTAACGGAATGTCGCTTCAAACCCTCATAGACATAGGAAGTTCGAGGAGTTATATATCTCCTTTGGTGATTCGTACACACCGCTGGAAGATATACGCTAACGATTATGTAATTATGTGCATACGCCAGCTGTTGTTAGTAACCAAAAATTACGACGATTGGATGGGTGTGCCAGGCGGCGCCTGCGACCCCATCGAAATCATCCCTTGATTGGTCAGAACACCAGCCAATCTGGATCAAGCATTCATAGCCCGGCACTTCTTGTCCACTTACGAGGATTCTGACACGACTCCGGTGAACATCCTGGGATAATCCCATATCAAGGAAGCAGGCCACCGGTGGCCAAAGGTAGCAGGTACGGGTGGCATGTTACGCTTGTCACCGGTGACTACGGTCGGCCTAATTGGCAACCAAAAAGTTATTGCAAAGTTTTTGGATTTTCAGAAATTTTTGGGACTAGTTGGAGCCGGATGGGGCTTACGATGCCGTTCTAAATAAGCTAAGACATATGTGCCGGCTAACTAACTGCGTCTCAGGGTACTCGGTCTGACCACCCGGCCTCACAGCACCTGAGTTATGATCGAACGCCGTACCCAATTACCAAACACGACGCGCTTACGAAGACATGCTGCATGGTCGAGGAATAGCAAGATAAATGTAAACTATAAATAGATTGAAATAATATCGCATCACTAATTTTGGTCGACCCACCCCGTGTTTTCGGTTTCCAGGGGTTAGACCAAAGATTTCCTTGAATCAATGTTGAATTGTTCCTTCTGAAATCCACTGTGGCAGTCGAGCGTGTGGCCACAGAGTAGACAGAAGCTAAGGTGGCAGGTATCAGTATACAACGGTTATATTAATCTTTATTAGCCTGGGCAAATCTACGCATGATATAGGTCTTTCAGCTCCATCTTTTGAGCAAGTTAGTTTGTCTGTGATGTCAGGGGCAAGGTAAGCACGAAGCATGTCCTGACTGACCGACACAGGTCGAAGTGGTTCACTGTTGAAGAAATAATTTTCATTATTGAAGGGCTCACCATGCTGGAGATCCTCTGGATTCAGCATCCAATTATCTATCCAAGGAAACATGCAAATGATTCATTTTACTCACCAGGATGATCTCTTCCAGGTTGCACATACCCAACACTCGTCTGTCAGTAGTCGGGTCAACAAATCGGAAAAAGCTGATGCTGACTACTCAGCAACACGTCTTCGTAGCTGAACGGCGAGATTAAGCGGCCCAAGAACACGCTTCG